CCCCCCGTCCACCCCTCAACATTTCCCTTCTGAATCATCCCCAAATACACAATAAGAGTTCGAACAAGCAACAAAAACAAACAAACAAATAAACAAACGAAAAGCAACAAAAGTATTTTTTTAAAATTAAATGCTTACAACAACTTCAAAATGGGAAGACGATGATGACATGTAAAATCAGTAAATTATGTCTTGTGTATGGTATAGGTAGGGGAAAAACAAAAGCGGGCACTGGGGTCTGGATGCAGAGGTGTGCACAGTTTAAATTCCGGTACTTATTTATATCAGGTGACTCCAACCAAAAGGAGAAAAAGAAAATAAATTAAAGTGTTGGCCTACAAGGATCTTTAAAATGTAAGCTTCCAAATGACACAACCGATTTTGATGGATCCCACTGCTGAAGTCAAAGACGTCTTCAGAGTCTGAGACATATTTTTAACTTCTCAGTTCTTCACATTCTTCAATTTAAAAAATAACAATATCAGAGACTTCTTTTGTGATATTCCCCTAATAGGGCCTACAAGTCTACGGAAATAAAGACTTGTACACTTAATTGATCAAAAGTCGATCGTAGTCTACGGTAAAAAATTAACCCAAGAGTTTTAGGTACGAAGAAAATTTATGATCACGTCATTTCTCAACAAGACAAATAATGCATCGTTCTCATTCAGTTTTTATTTCTCACCAGTTCTATATTTCTCTCTCCGCCCCCCTTTACCACAGTAAACCTCTCAAGAACAGCAGAATAAAAACGTCAGTCATTAGACCAGACAATTATTGGACAAACAAACACACGAACTCACATTGATATACGCAATGCCGCACACACTCAGTGTTGGGATCTACAAATATAATCTTGCAATCCCATTCTTAAACAAACACAGAAGTATTGCTCTTTGAACCAACGATTCATTTTCAACAAAACAAACGTGTCCATACATACAGATAGGTACTTTAATTATAACCAAATTTCATTTGCTCTCAAGACATCTCTCTTTTAGTCTTCTCTTATTCTCTGTCACGTGTTCTTTCTTCACCTTTGTAATGTTCTATTTATCTCTTTTATTCCTGTGTTTCCTCTCCTTCGTCTTCGTCTTCTTCGGCTTCCTTTTCCCCCTCTCCTGCCTCCTCTTCTTCTTCTGCATCGCCTTCTTCCCCAGCCTGCTCTTTTCCCTTTTCTCCCCCTTCACTCTTCTTCTCTACCTTCGCCTCCTCTTTCTTCGTTTCTGTCTCTTTTAATGCCTCTCCTGCTTTTTCGGCTTCTTCCTCTTTCCCCTTTTCCTCCGATTTCTCATCTTTGGAAGGGACTTCTGTCTCCTCCGATTTCGTCTCTCCCTCCTTCTCAGAACTTTCCTCTTTTACAGGTTCCTCTTCACCTTTCTTCTCTTCCTTTTTCTCACTCTCATCCTGGGACGGAGCAGCTGCTTCTTCCTTTTTCTCCTCCTTCACCTCCCCACTTTCCTTTTCGCTTTCCTCTGTTACAACTTCCACTTCAATCTTCTCAGCACTTTCCTCTCTCTCAGCAGCCTTCTCCTCCTCTTGCTCCTGCTCTTGAGGCAACGCCTCTTCCATTATAACGACCTCCTCTGTGGGGACTTCCACCTCCTCAGACACAACCTTCTCCTCAATCGTTTCCTCCACTTCTTCCCTCTCCTCAATCTTTTCCTCCACTTTTTCCTTTTCCTTCACCTCTTCCTTTTCCTCTTTCTTTTCTTCCGATCTTACTTCTGTCTTCTCCTCCTCTCCTGTCTTTCCTTTCGGCTCCTCCTTCTGACGTTCCTCTCCTGATCCACCCACAATCTTGATAGCCGGTTTATCAGCAGCTGCTCTTGCTTGACTCAGGGCTTGAACCCGTTCCATTGCGAATCGGGTGGACTTGGGCTTCTTTCCACAGAAGTGGGTCTTGTCAAAAATGGTATGCCAGATACCCTTCTCCAGAACTGGGGGGAAAATGACGTCATACACACAGGTCAAAGAGAGCTAGAATGTGGGTTAGAATAATGATATATGAAGC